CCCCCTGAGCGACCTCCAGTCTCCCTCGGATGTTAAATCTCCAGCCATGGCTGAACTGAACCTAACCCTTCCTTCCATTCCTGAAGTCGCATCGGATGATGAAAGAGGAGATCAGGCTGAAGATGGCAGAAAGACAGCAGAGTTGGCACCTGCGCAAGTAGGAGCTTCTTCCTTGAGCACGTCGCCTCCCTGTCCGGAGGAGGGAAGAGGGCCAGTGCCTGCCGGGGACCTGCGTGACTTTGGGACCGAAGCACCCACAGCGGCCATCGATGCCCCTTTGGTGCAGGCCACAGCTCCAGGAGGTCACATGCCACAGCATGGCGAGAGCTCGAGCTTGGATAAACAGCTGCCAGGCCCTGGCGGTGGCGAGGAAGAAAAACCGAAGGGAAGCGGGAGGCCGGGTCAGCCTGCTGGCCTGTCCCTGGACTCTGCCGTGGCCAGTCCCCCCCTTTCTGAGACCTTTCCTGCCACACACTCTTTCCCCAGCTCTCCATGTTCTGACACTCACCACACCAGTACAGCAGAATCTCCAAAAAAGGTAACAGCAGAGGGCTGCGCCGGTAAAGTTGACAGTTTTGGCAAGAGGAAGCCGCTCCTTCAGGCCTGGGTGTCCCCCTCCGAGACGCGCACGGGCTCGGCTCAGCCGGGCGCGCACAGGTGAGACACTGGGAGGCTTGGCTTTGTGAGGGTGACAGGGGCTCTGCCATTGCTTTCTCCTGCAGAGGTCATGGCTTTCCGACCACTCAGATGTCCCAGTGTCACACCGCGCCTGTTTGGCCAGTGTGGCCTATTTTAGGAGGGCCGTCCCTTGTGGTGGTAATACCTCAAGACGCTGCTGCATTTGGAAGAGGAACACAGTAGTAGTCGTCAAAGGTGGCTTAGGAATTGTTCTGCACTGTCAGATTTGGAGCACTCAAATTGCAGAAATGTGGTGTGGCTGATATATATATATATATATTTTTTCCTGGCAGCTGGTCATTATGGGGATCCAAACCCTTGACCTTGTGCTCTAACCAACTGAGTTAACCGGCCAGCCGCTGTGACCAGTATCTTAACAGTCTCAGAAACCAACTGAGATGGAGCAGTAGAGTCTAGTGGTGGTGAAAACCTCTTTTAAGCACTGCCTGATGTGCAGCTGGCACGCTTGTTCTAGACTCTTTCTTTACAGTGGAGGCACAGAAGGCTCTGCAGGGAGCTCCACAGAGGGGTCCTCGGCTGTAGCTACCTCCAAAAAATAAGAGACTGCCTTTAATATTCCCCTGTTGCTCATCACAAGACTAAGGGTCTTGTGGATACGCCGGGACACCTGGCCAAGGATGCGCTTTGCTGGCTATGCAGTGGCTGCTGAGTCCTGACTGCTTCATTTCCACAGGGGCTGAGACGCTGGAGTGTGTCGGACAGAGTAGAGAGCAGAGTGTGTCACTGTCCCCCTGGTCTGCCTTGCTGGCTGCCTTCTTTGAGATGGGTAGTTTCTTGGTTTTCTGGCTACGGAAAGGTCTAAGGATCCTTTTTCCCTTCTCTTTTAGACTTCATCCTGTGAAGCCAATGAGCACAACAGCTACCAAGATTGCAAACTCCAGCTTGGGAACTGCCACCATCATCAGTGAGAACTTGATCAATGAAGCCATGACGAAGGTATGTCTTGTAAGAAGCAGGCACGTTAGTTAGGGACCTACAGAGCACCTGTCACTGGAGTCGCCATTGTATACACCTCCTTGGGCAGCAGCAGAGCCAGGAGTTAATCACGAGTCCGGTGTCTTGGGTGAGCTTTGGGAGCCCCCAGACTTTCCGTTGGATAATTAGCTTTTTTCCTTATAGTTATTTTGCTATTGTTAAATATTTTTATTTCTCGAGCAGCATGATTGACACCAGTACTTCTGTTGTTTATTTATTTTTTTGGTGGCTGGCTGATACAGGGATCAAACCCTGGACCTACACTTCTTTTTAACTAGAAGAAAGTGTCACCCACAGTCTGGCCCATTCAAGTCAGATGTTTTCTTTTTCCCGTGTTTCCTTTCTTATCTTTTGGCAGGAATATAAAATTCTTGTAGATGTAATTGTTGCATAGATGTACTTTTTTGAAACTTTTTTTGAAATAGTTTCAAACATTAAAAAAGTTGCAAGAGTGGTACGAAGAGCTCCTGTAAACGTCCATTCCTGTTTCACCCACTGTTAGCGTCTGGCCAGGTCTGCTTTAGCATCCTTGCAGTACCTTCCTCCCCTTCTGTCTGTGCACACACACATGCAGATGCAGGCACTTTTTTCTGAACCATTTGAAAGTAAGTTATATATGTTGTGCCTCTTTCACACCTAAACACTTAAGTGTGTAATTCTAAGAATAAAGATGTTCATCGGGGGCCGGCCTGTGGCTCACTTGGGAGAGTGCGGTGCTGACAACACCAAGGCCACGGGTTCGGATCCCATATAGTGATGGCCGGTTGTTCACTGGGAGAGCGTGGTGCTGACAACACCAAGTCAAGGGTTAAGATCCCCTTACCGGTCATCTTTTAAAAAAAAAAAAAAAATAAATAAAAATAAAGATGTTCATCGAAATCGGGAAATTTAACGTCGATGTTTTGAACAACTGTTTTCTCATCTATACTCCATATTTTAATTTTACCCATTGTTCCAATAGTTTCCTTTTTAGTCTTTCTGTTCTTTGTTTTCCCAGTTCAGGATCACTCACTATTTATTTGTCTTGTCTCTGTAGTCTTCTTTATTCTGGAATAGTTCTTTGCCCCCCCCGCCCCTTTTTTTTCTCTTTTACAACAAAGACATTTTAAAAGATTTTAGATCAGTTCTGTAGAATTTTCCTCAGTTTGGGTTTGTGCGATGTTTTCTCATGACTTGGTGGAGGTGATGCATTCTTGGCAGGAATTAGCTACACAAATAATGTGTCATCGTCAGTATTTTGCATAATGAGGTTCATGATATCAGTTTTTCCCACTAGTGGGAGTGTTAACCCTGATGACTTATTGAGGTGTCTGCCAGGTTCTCCACTGGAACAAAGCTACTATTTTTCCCTTCATAATTAATACAACATATGCAGGGAATTAATTTCAGACTATGTAAATATTCTCTTCTTCATCAAACTTTTACTCTCAGGCCTTAATATCCATTGGCGAATATAGTGTTTGCAAAATGGTGATTTCCCAACCTCATCACATGCACAGAAATGCTCTTACATTCTCTTTTACACTCAGCAGTACATCATAAACATTTTTGCATGTTACTTAATCCTACTTAATTCTTAGTTCTATTTAATTCTTTGAAATGGGTATGCCAGTATTTACTTAACATTCCCCTATTATTGGATATTTAGTTTGTTTTCTGTTTTTCAATATGAATTAACACTGTAGGCAGCAATTTCCTACATAGAACTTTTCATCTTCTTTTAGATTATTTCCTTAAGCTAAATTTCCAGGAAGAATATTGCTGGATTAGAGAGTCTCTTCTCTTTAAAAAGTGGGGGCTAACATTAAAAAAACAGCTCCTCCCCACAAATACAAAACCAACCTCTCCCATGATCTCTGCTTTGGAGTGTCTTCATCCTGCCCTTTCTGGTTCTAAACTCAGAAGGATTTAGAATACTGCCTTGTCGCACACCCTTGGTCTTCGACTCATTACCACATGGACTGGAAGAGAATGACGGACTGACTGAGGTATTGGTGACCTTTAGTGGGCAAGGATGTGTTGTATTTCGTATGTGTGGAGAGGAACTTTGAGACCACTGGGAGCTGCAGTCTGTAGAAATAAACTTTGTTTTTATTTTAGTTAAGGACAGCTGAAAGTTTCATATAGTCATAGATTTTACAATCCCGTGGACTCCAGGACTTCAAATAGTTTTTTGTTTTTTTTTAAATAAACATGTTGGCTTGTGCATCCTTCACTTGTGGAAGCGTTTTTCAAAGCGCCTCTGCCACCAGGAGCTGGGATGCAGGTTTACTAGAAGCTGGAGGGTCATGATGAGGTGTCGCAACTAATCGTTGCTGAAGACAAGGTGGCCTCCTCCAGCTTTCTTGCCTGCTCTTCCCATGTGGAAGGTGCTGACTGGACGGGTGGGAAGCACTGTTCTCAGAGCTACCAGCCATAGCCGGAACTGCGTACATAGCTGCTTTATAGCCCTAGCCTAAAAATATATAGCCTAGTGCTATAAGTCGACCCACTCAGCTTGGCTGGCTTCTCTGTGGTTGTTGCAGGTAAGAGAGGCAGCACTTGTCTTCCTGGAGCTGATGACATTTACTAGGAAATTGGGCAAAGGAACAGCATGAAGGGGATAGTAATAAAAATCAGAGTAATTCAGCAGCCTCCCATCCCCTCTTTTACTGTGGAATGCAATGTGGCTCCAAAGAGAAACAATCGCCTCCTTTTCAGGAAGTTAGCAAGACCCTTGGCTCCCATGTTATTTACACTTCAAGGCTCATTTAATCAGGGGCTTATCTCCTGGCCCTGATTAAGAGAATACAAAACAAAGGCAGCCGCTGCTTGCTTTGCTCACGATTTGTAAGCCCTGCCCTGCGCCACTGCCTCCTGCAACAGAGCTCCAGGCCCTGGACCGTACCTAGTAAATACTCTAAGTAAGTGTGTGAAGTTTCCCGGGGACAGTCCTGTTGCCCTGCTGTATCACAGACGCTTTGTGCTAAGGCATAAAACAACATTTATAAAAATAACTGCTCTTTGGAATGTTGCGAAATGAGAGAGAGGTTAGAGAAGGAAATCCTCTAGCTAAAGTTGTGAAAAGCTCGCTGGAACAATGATTTTTTTCCCCCTTGTTTATTGTTTGAGGGCCTCCCTTCTTTATAGATGATTTATAACTAGGAGTGTATTATTTACCCAGGTGGCTTTAACACTTCCATTTGAAAACAGCAAAGACAACTAGATCCAAAAATCGTTTGTTACATTATATGGAAAAAGTTGGACACACATTTAAACGTTCGTCATTTATTGCAACTTTGTAAAAGGAAAAATCCAGTGTAGGAAACACGTGACAGGGGCACCGTTCATGCTCGCCCCAGTGGAGGTTCTCCCTGTGCCTCTTCACTTCCATGGCTGTTGCTCATTTTCTGTAATGCTGGATTGTTTTATAATTTTTTAACCATCACATAACTAGGATCTTCTAATGATTCCAAAGTCCTATATATCTTCTTTCCCCTTTGAGTTACAGAATCCACATCGAATAGCGGTGTGACAGTTTATATGAAGTACCTTAAGTGTATGTGCTTTTTCAATTCTAGGTACTCATGTTAAGGAAATATTTATAGAGATGTGGCTAAAGATTTATGGTCATGCATTTTAATAAAAATGTTATAACTATGAAAAATGAAAACAATCTAAATATCCAGCAATAACAGGATAGTTAAAATATAATGGAATTTTAAACAGCTATTAAAAAGCAATTTTTGACTAAAATTTAATGATGGGAAAATGCTGACAAAATAAAAATCATAAAAAATTATAAAACCATGTTCTGTATCGTGCTAACATTGTAAAACATACCATAAAAAACCCCAGGAAAAATAAGAAAGAGACTCAAATGTTATGTGTTAGAATTGTAGGTAATGATTTTTCTCCCTTCTGTATTTGAAATTTTATAATTAAAATAAATTTTTTTGGTTATTTTTGGAGAAAAAGAATTTTAGTTCACATGCAGCTTCATCTCTGAAGCTCGTCCCGCTCACCCCAGCCTCTTATTATGGTGGGTCACTGAGCCACTGTGCATGTCACACTCTGTGCAGACCTGGTGTTGCCAAGTGATAAGCCCTGGCCCTGCCCTCCAGGTGTCAGCTTCTTCGTCTTTCTATCTCCCAAACTCCCTTGCAGAGTATTTTATGTAATAAACATTTTTGAATAAATGAAATCCTTCTGTGACAGAGGTGCAATATAAGAGGACATATTCTGGCCATTATTTACAAAGACAACTTTTTCTCGATATGAAATGTAAATAGACATGCAACTTTTTGAAAAAAATTGTGGCAAAATGCACATAAAAATTTACTATTTTAGGGTCAGCCTTTGGCTCACTTGGGAGAGTGTGGTGCTGATAACAACAAGGCCACAGATTCGGATCCCTATGTAGTGATGGCCGGTTGGCTCACTTGGGAGAGTGTGGTGCTGACAACACCAAGTCAAGGGTTAAGATCCCCTTACAGGTCATCTTTAAAAAAAAAATAAATAAATAAATTGCTATTTTAACTCTTTTTAATGTGCAGTTCAGTAGTATTAAGTACATTCACATTGCTATGCAACCAATTCCCAGAACTCTTTTTTGGACATGCAACTTTTTTGTTGAATGTCGTTTTGGAAGTCACACATAGAGTGATTGAGGTCCAGAGGAGGTACCCTGTGAATTCAGGCCTTCCACATGTTTGGGGGGCAGAGGGAGAATAAGGCAGAAGCAGTTTTTGGAAAGTAGTCCAGCATCTCACCTATTTATGTGCAGCGTGTGTTGGGTTGAAACCTGCTCTGTATATGAATGTCAGTGTGTGTTTCTAAGCCTTTGAGCTTCATTCCTGGCCGGGTTGAAAGGGCTGGATTCCTCCTCTGAATCCTGGCTGGTGTGTGGGCAGTTTGCTTCACTGGACTGAACTGGGGCTTCATTGTGTCGTTGAAGAGCCGGTGTTGATTCTGCTCTTGGCTTAGCTTCTTTTTGGAGAAGGTAGTCTCTTAGCCTTCCTGGTAGACAGTGAAACTGCTAGACACTCAGGGCAATAAAATTGTCATTGGCTCACAGTTCTGCAGGCAAAATGGTCTCAGAGTTGCTCCAGGATCTTGTTTCTTTAAACTTGTAAAACTCCCGAGCCACAGATTTCAGGAAAAGTCACTTTTTTCCCCCTTACTGAAGACTTGATACAACATGTTAATTCTTATTTAATCTTTATTTTGTGTTTCCTCATGGTTCAGGCCTCTTGGGCTTGCAGCTGGACTCCAGTCGTCCCAGGTTATAAATGCTGACAGAGTAAAGGAACTCTTCAGGGCACCTGCTCTCAGGGGAGGGGGAACATTCAGCTCTGGTACAGGCCATTGCGTACCCAGAGGGTGTGCCCTGCCTGGATCTCTGAGGGTGATGACTGGCTGGGTGGCACTTGGCTTTGATTCTGCATATTTTATGAGTATGAAAGGCCTTTAGTGGGCTCGCTGAGTGGCCACTGCATCGACCTGACCACCAGACAGCCATGGAAGGCGGGTGCTCCCTGCACCTGTCCGCACAAGTGTTCCTTCACGGCCCCTTGGCTTGGGGCTCCTCGCCAGCTCTGCGTGGATATTTGCTTGTGCGAGCTCCTAGTGTTCACAGCAGCTGGAACACTTCTTTGGAGGACTGAGTCCTCTGATAATTATATTTCTTAAATTATATTTCTTAAAACTCCAAACCCAGAGTCAAATGGAGAGGTCTGTGGCCTATGAGCCAAGTATGTTTTTTTACATTTTTAAAGAGTCATAAGACAAACAAAAAATGAGAAAAGAACATGCAACAAAGGCTATATGTGGCCCACAAAGTCTAAAATATTTATCTGGCCCTTTACAGAAACTTCATCAATAACCTCTTTTCACCCTAAATTGAAGAAAACAGATTCCCAAGAGACCCAGATCACTAATAACATTTTCCTCTTTTCTATTTCTTTTAGATATTTGATTTCTATGCTGATTTAATAACTTTCCCTCCCTTTCTGTAGTCTCCAAAGAAATACAGCCCCTCGGACCCGGCCTTTGCCTATGCGCAGCTGACCCACGATGAGTTGATTCAGCTGGTCCTCAGGCAGAAGGAAACGATAAGCAGGAAGGAGTTTCAGGTTCGGGAGCTGGAAGACTACATCGACAACCTGCTGGTCAGAGTCATGGAGGAAACCCCCAACATCCTCCGCATTCCGGCTCAGGCTGGCAAGAAAGCAGGAAAGGTGTGAGTCACCTGAATAAAACACTGGGACATTTTCGTGAGTTTTTTTCCACCTGCTCTTGAGGTCAGGGACTGCGTATGCCTGAGGATAACCAGCCAACAGGCTCCAGATGACACCTCTCTTGCCTGTTATCTGGCAATTCAGTTCTACCAATTGAAGCCAGGTTAATTATTACAATGAATCTTTTACTGTACATTCCCAGGGTTTTATTTTTAAATACCACCGTGCCTTTAACTAGGGTGTGAATACTTTATTCCACCAGAAACATGGTCATAAGATCTGATCCTGAGCCGGAAGTACAGGTGGCACAGGAGGTGTTAATGCAACTTAACACTGGGGTTTTATTTCTTTGACATGAGATTTTTTTCAAATACGTATCCTCCAGTTATTAAAGCACAGGGTGACATGGGGAAAGAACCATGCAGCTGGTGCTGTGTCACACACACTTTCTTGGCTTTTGAGTAGCTCAGGTGTGGCCTTTTGGCTAAATTTTGATATCATGTAGACCTATTGGGCTACTTGGGTGTTGTTTCTTGATGGGAGCAGAGGAGTTTAGGGGATGCCTCTGAGTTTACCTTCTAGGTTTTGAACAAGTTGCCTTTTCGGAACATCAGCTTCCTCTTCTCTGTAGCCTTAAAATGTGCTCTGTTTAGATCCCTAAAGCCCTTCTACTGGAGATATGAAAGATAGAATACAAGGATTAAGAGAATCACTTTTTACTCAATTAGGGGGAACGTCCCTCCTCTTGTGACAGGAGGGTTCCCGCTGGCTGGACTGGCCTATTCAGTGCCTTAAGGGATTGGGTGATCGAGCACTTGCTAAAACCGATCTGTCAGGTATGGATTCCTTTGGCCATTTCCCCCTGTGCCTTTGCTTGGCTCCCTGGTGTCCTTGGCAGCACTTCCTGGAGGGGGTCAGGGTCCAGCTCCTCGAGATGAAGCAGCCCCTTAACTGTGCAGGTCATGGGGAACCATAACTTGGACCCTGAAGGGCTTGAGCTGCATGTGACTGTCCTTTGAATTCTTCCTGTCCCTACCTGGAAGAAAACCCATCACTTCTGGGTACTGGAGAGGTTGTAGTGAGGGGCTTTATATAGCTAATAAAATTTAAAAGCCAGTGGAAAACAGAAATGCCTCAGACTTTAAACTGTTGCTTTTTTCCACTTTCCTTCATGAAAATAGACCCAGGCATTTTACCTCCTTGTTAGAAAATTGTGAAAAGTATCACAAGATGATACTTACTTTTGGATTGCTATATTTTAAAAACCAGATTAATACACATTTTTTAAAACTAGGGCACTTGCCCCCTTCTTAATTAATAGCAACAGTTCATATTCTTCAGGTAATTTTATTGTTGGTCACCTGATACTGGAATTAGAATGTTTTTGCGTTCTCAGTTTTTCTCCTGGTTGTGATAGAATCTCATCAAATCTTGACATCTCTCATAGGGGAAGAACGTCACAGGCCACTGGTGTAGGCAGGGCTTGAGACGATAGCAGTTATTAAATCGGGAATCTCTTGTCTGTATGTTCTTGTTACATTGTGGTTAAGAAGCCAGATTATTGGCAGCAGAATCCCTTTTCAGGATTATGTTTGCTGCAGCATTGATTATATTGGAGCACTTTAATCTGAGATGATATGTAACTTGATTTATCTAATTAGCGTTTAATTATCTACAGCTATTTTATTTTATTTTATTCTCTCCTACAGTACTGGGGAACACTGTGGACTTCTCAGATGACTTGTATTTTCGTAGTGCTGTGAAATTTATTTACATACCTATAAAGATAACTATATTCACTTGAACTCTGAAAATGTCCATGTATACATTTGTTCTGCATCATGTTTTTTACTTGATATCAATGTATTTTTACTGTGATAACCCAAGTGCGCTGGGGGACAGGTGTGTCCTGAATGGTTTCTCTTCCTTGGAGGAGCTGGTAATGGAGACCCGCATTGTTCACGTGGGGTGGGTGGTTTGGAGACTCTGCTGCTAGGACCTCAGGTGTGTAACTTGGTCAGTGTTTGAGAGGGACCTCTGGGTGGAGGAGTGAATTCCCATGCTCTGAAATGCCACTTGGGAACTTGGGAGAATGAAGGACAATTTACTTCAAGGGTGTCTGGCTTCTGCCAGTGCTGGAAAACACTCAGTTTATAGCGTTCCTGCGTGTCACAAAGAAGATAACCTGGAGGTCATTCAGGTCATAACTGTCCTTGAAGACTCTCCTGGGGGTGAGGGGCATTATCTAGGAGAAGCTTCAGCCTGCTCTGAGCCGTTAGCGAGGGTGGTGCATTGGGTCATGAGCTCCTCTAACTGGAGCTTGCGGAAGGGCGTTCATCCATCTGCACAGGAGCTGGGACTTGCCTCTGGCTGCTGCAAGTGTTAACCTAAGGGACAGACCAGGAGGGCCTGTGCTCTGCGGAAGCAGGAGTCGCTCTTCTCTTAGCCTTGCCTGGCTGCCTCCAGAAGGAGCCACAGGTACTTGAGGGGAACATCGGATTAAATAAGTACCAATGATGGACTTCAGCCAGAGTCAGCCTCCTGAAAAGCGTCCATCCTTGGCGTGCCTGTTTCCGCCATCTCGTTCCTCGGACTTGGGCAGACGCCCTGCCTCTCCTTTTCTTCCAGTGTGTTGACCTCATCAAGGCAGCAGAATGCAGGAGAAGGCAGGCCTGCTCTTTGCCGTGCTCCCCAGCTGTGGCCCGGAGTGGAGGGGTGTGTGTGCCTGCGAGTGAGACACGTGGGAGCTCAACGGGGCAGAGAGGGAGAAAGGGCGCGACACTGGCCACCTGTGGTGCTGAGGGCCAGAGGCGGTTTCATGTTAAATTATACAGGCTCTTCCCTCCCTGGGTCCCTTCTCCCAATCAACCTTTTTTTTTTTTTTTTCTAAGAACTACTAATTAATAATTAATGATCCCTCAAGGCTGAAAAATTGCCTTTGATGGAGAACTTAACCTCCACGCCAACCTCAACTCCAACCTCAACTCTGGTTTCTCCGTATCTACTACGTGTGCTACTAAGTTGACTTCCTCCTCTCTCCAGTTGGAGGGTTGCTCAGTGCTTTTGGATTATAGAATTATTATTTCCTGCTTTTGTAACTTTGGGAATTTTGAATTTCTTTGGTTTTGTTTGTGAGAAGTAACCTGAAATTTCCTATAACACTAAATAAAATGGTACTACCTTTCAAAGTTTTTTGTCTGTAGTTTAATATGGGTGCAATAAAATTTTTTTTCTGTCTTCCTGGAAAACTTCTCTTGGGGGGTGTGGGAGAGTGACAGTACTTTTCATCCCATGAGGGTCTCTCACTTGGATTCCTGCTGCTGCCACCTTGCCTGGTGCCCAGGGGTCTCAAGGCCCTTTCTCCCGTGGAGGATGGAACATTGCTGATCCCTTGCCTGTGAAGCAGCCCTCATCTTAGCATGAGGGACTGTGGCATTTACCAGGTAAACATCATTCGAGTGTTCGGCCACCAGTGCTAAAAACTGCCACCTCTTTTAAAATTTTTTTGGTTGCTGGCCAGTACAGGGCTCCAAACCCCTGAACTTGGCGTTGGCAGCACCACGCTCTACCGAGTGTGCTAACCAGCCAGCCCCAAAGCTGCCGCCTTTTTCCTTTTGCAGCACGTGCCTTTGGTTGAGCACATGGACAAGGATCATTTCCTTGATTCCCGCCCCCCCTCCTGCCCCCGACACACAGATTTCCCAGAGTAAAGTCTTCATCTTGGGGGCATGAGTTGAATTCAGACCGGGTCCAGAACTGCCCCCATCTGGGAACCAGGTCCCTGGTTCAGTCAACTCAGTGGATCCACTTCTGAAGAGGGTCTTACAGCTGTCCAAGGAGCCTCCCAAATTCCAAGCCTTCCTGCCGAGGTGAGAGGTTTGCCTTCCTCTCAAGCACAGCCCTTGCTCCAGGCGCTGCAGACCTTTTGATGTGGAGCAGATGCTTTTTGTCTGTTAGAGATAAAAGTCACACTGTAGAAAGAGGCAGGCGGTGCCTGTGAAGCTCCTGGGTGGGGGCTGGGGGAGTTCCCTGAAGGCCTCCCTGGATCTGGTGGAGGGGCCTGGTCACCCCAACTGAATGACAGACGGTGGGACCACCGTGTAAGGCGATATGGACAGAGCTCGAAGGAAACAGCCCTCCAGGTCTGCTCTGTTGATCTGTTTTGTTTTTTGGTGGCCGCTGGAAAGGGGACCTGAACACCGTGCAGGTTTGCTTTAAAAAAACCAAAACCCTTTAAAAGGAGGGTCTCCAAGAGAGTAAAGTTAATTACATAATGACCCCGACTTTTCTGAGATGCGTTTCTCTTCGTTTTGGAGTTCTCACAACTCGGTTCCTGCTGCTGCCACCAAATCCAGCCCTTAGGGGACAGCTATTGTATTTTTGAAACTCCACCCCAAGGAAAGACACAACCCTCTTTTTCCTTTTAGCCCAGTTGCAAATAATGGAAAGTTTTAAAAAACATACTGAGAAAATAAGGGAGATGATTATAGAATATATGAATATAAAAAGTGAATTTTCCTAAATCCAGAATTCTGCCAAAGGAAGTCAAGCCCCAAAGGTCCATCTCTGCCAGGAGGCCTTGGGTTCTTAGCAGATTGAGAGGCCCCTTGTGTTCCATTCTGGAGCAGCAGTGACACTGTCCCCCTGCCACCCCCATACCCTGTGCACTCACTCGGTCTGTAGATTTTTCTAGGTAACGTGTATGTTCTTGGAAAAGAAAAAGAAAAATCATTTCCCCACTACCAAGAGGTAACCACTGTTATTTTGACTTGTTGCCTCAGGATTTTTCCCCTCATAAATAGATAACACTTTCTTTTTTTTTTTTTTTTTTTGGGCAACTGGCCAGTACTGGGAACTGAACCCTTACCTTGGTGTTGCAAGGCTGCGCTCTGACCAAATAGATGCACTTTAAAGGGAGGAGAGGATCACACAGGACGTACAGTTTTGGACCTGTCTCCGTGCCCGTAGATAGCATGCGCCTATCCACAGTCCATTCTGCGGCAAGGACAGACAGGAACTCTGAGTGAGGGGAACCTACTGCCACTGACAAACCCCCTACCACGAAAGAGCTCTGGTGCCTGCAGAGACTGATCTAGGTCCCTTCCTGCTCATGTTAAAATCACAGCCACCTCTGGACCAGAGTGAGGACTTGCTGGGGGAAGCACCCTGCCCTTCCCCACTGTATTAGTCCGTTCTGTTGCTTATAACAAAATACTTGGAACTGGGTAATTTATGAAGAAAGTGAAATGTATTGCTTACAGTTTCTGAGGCTGGGAAGTCCAAAGTCCATCTGGTGGTGGTGACAGTGACCCAGGGGTCTCACACTGCAAGATGGTGGAAGCAGAGAGAGAGAGAGAGAGAGACAGACTCTCCTGTTCTTTTAAAGCCCTCAGGACCATGCCCCTGACAACCATTTTTATTTTTAGCCTTTATTTTTTCCTACATTCACATAACTTTTATTACAGTATATTGTTACAATTGTTCTTTTTTATTATTAGTTACTGTGTTTTTTTCCCAATTGCTTTTTAATTTTATTGTTATTTTTTTACTTTCTAGGGTGATGTTGCAGAACAGTTGGGAGGGAGGGGAAAGGGGAGAGGGGAAGGAAATGGAAGAAGGAAGAAGGAGGAGGGGCAGGATCGAGGCCTGTGGCACCCCCCTCATTCCCACAGAGGAGACGGGGGGCTTCCAGTGGTGGCTTCGTCATTGCTGGGTTGGGAGCAGATGTCAGCGGGGTGTGGTAAAAGCCCTCTCCACCCCCGCCCCCCAGCTCAGGAACCCAGGGACCTTCTTGCTGTGGCTTGGTGGTCATTGCTGGGCTGGTTGCATGTGTTGGGGGGGGCGTGGCCAAGGCCTGAGGCCCCCCACCACCCTGCTCCAGAGAGCCTGGGGTGCTTCCTGCAGCAGCTCAGCTGACCACCATTTTTGATCCATTCACTACTGCACAGTCCTACAATCCAGTCACCTCTTCAAGGCTCCGCCTTTCAATTACCATAATAGGATTTTCCACCCTCTTAACAGTCACAGTGGGGGCCAAGTTTCTAATACATAAAACTTGGGGGACACAAATCAAACTCCAGTGAGTTCTGGGGGAATGTAATTCAATCCACTACATCCACCCATGAAAAACGGTCACTTACAGGGTGTCCTCACAATTCTTTAACCAGGGCAAAAGGGTCAGCAGCACAGCCTCCCTTAGCTCTTGAACCCAGTCTCTGCAGTGGACCCTGTTCCCTGGCTTCTCGTGAGGCATCATCTCTTGGGCCCTGCAGTCTCCTCTCCCGGGAAGTCACTAATATCACTTCCAACTCGAAGCTGGCTTACTTGAGCCCTGTGGGGCCAGCATATCCCAGAGCCAAAAACTCTCCTCAGGGAGAATGTCCTTATGTAGCCTTTTGGCTTTTGGTTATTTTACACAGAAACCAGTGTCCTGTGGCCTGGAAAGAGTCACCTTGGTCACCCTGATGTGGCTCTTGCAGGGCTGAGGAAAAGCCGCTTCCGTCCTTGCACACGGACTGCTAAACCACTGCAGCAAGAGCGTGTGCTCAGGGCGCAGACTGGAGCTGGCCAGTGTCACAGTTTCAGTCACCTGAGCCGAGAAGGCGCCCAGGGCTGAGGCCGGATTAAAGACCTTGAGAGCAGCCCAACTCTCACTAGATGAGAATGATCCTGCCTGTGAGGAATTCAGTCCACGCAGGAGGTGAAGAGCTCTTTACTGAGCGCCAGGTCCTTCCCACAGGGACGTGCCATTGCAGGGAGAGTCAGACAATAGACACATTTAACTGAGGGAGGACAGGCAGAGGCCTGCCTTTGGGTGCCCTCCGCCTCGGTCTCCCCTCTAGGAAGACCCCTGGCCTCCACGTCAGCATTACACATCTGGGCCACAGCTGGGGCTGCTTTTCCAAGCCCCCCTACCCCCAAACCTGTCCGCAGGAACCCAGCCCCTTCTGGGCACTCAGCGTGAGGAACATGTTACACATAATCACCGTCGTGGATGACATTAACTCTGCGATGAGCTTGTAGCAGTGGAGAGGCACCGAGATTGATGAGTCTGTTCTCATCCCCTGCAGCAAGGCAAACACATTTCTCGAATAGACAGATTTCTTCCTGAGAGAGTGGAGAGCCCCCAGTTTCCACATCGCAGTCCAGTGCGCCGTCTCCTGGCCCGGACCCTGCCCTCCTCCCGCGGGTCTGTGAGGCGAGGCTGTCTCGTGGCCACAACGTGGCCTACTTGGGACTGGAAAGGAGTTACCCGACCCCTCACACTTGCTGCTTGGAGGATCATGAAACCGCTTTTCCACTTTACGGTGAGTATATCGGGGAAAGTGGGATTTCAAGGCTTCTGTCATGGGGAGATGGCCCAGTAGATCCCACTGTTTTCTTTTTTTTTTAAATGCAGTTACATTCAAGATAGGTGCAGACAAACAGGAGTCTGATGCTGTTCTGGATAATAATGTAAAGAACGCCTCCCAGTGCTGATTCGGTTGCTTTTAGGGACGTTTCTCCTTCCCAGTAAGAATGCTGACTGCGCCGACTAAAACCAGTGGACGTCTCCGAGAGGTGCGTGTGTACGTGTGTGCTTGCAAGTGTGTCCTAACATTTACCTACCAGACAACCAGATTGAATCCTCAGCCCACACCTCACACTAGTGGGGAAGACTAGAAGGGAGGGGACTTAAAATGCCAAAGCCCACCCACGACTATTGTGCCGAAGCCCCCTTCTGGTACAGGGATGGAGGGAGTAATTCAAGGTTAAGGGAAAGGACTGTTGGGAATTATTGTGTCCCTTGGCTGGGGAGAGGGGAGGATTCTCCAGTGTGATCAAACTCTGTGGTGACAGATGCGATTTCCTGCACTCTGAGAAAGCAGTCTCTTAGGGAGGGGGAGGTGTTCTTAGTCAGATGTCAAGTATAGAAACTGGGTGTGGAAAATAAGGGACTGACACTTCACAAAGGTATTTTTGCTTAATGCTGTCTGTCCTCTTGAACTGTGAAGACACTTTTATGAACGTTTCTGTTTAACATATATGTTTTCATCTATATTATTATCACCTTAAGTTCCTCAACCCTTCAGTAAAGTCTGTTAACAGTTTCAAGTGATCCTCATGTAGAAAATTTAAAAAATGGAAATTTGGCTGCTTTGTGTTCATGCGTCAGCTGACACCCGGTTGGCAGAGCAGGATCCTGCCAGTCTACTGACGTCTGAGGTGCAGGAATTTCTGTTGTCCAGCAGGAAGCGGGGAAGGAGTATGGAGTAGCTGTGCATAGAGAGGAGGGACCTGTGAGCCAGGGGGGCTTTTGCTGAACAGACAGTTCCTGTAAGGCCCAGCACCTCTTTCCAAATGTATACTAGAGGAAAGTGTCACTTGAAGCAGAGAAGGCTGATGCTTGGATTACAGACAAAATGCAATCTTGTCAGAGAAAACCCTCTGTGCCTGACCGCTGATAACTCTTTCAAAAGAGCATATAGCCCTGCTCAATCAAATACCTTTCTTTTTGAGGCTCAACTCCTCTGTTTGAGGACTCACTGGGTCATTGTGTTGCCTTGTCTCTTCCGACTAATAAGCACCATTTTTCTTTTGAGTTTTTTCGAGCTCTAAGGTGTATAATAATTTATTGATCATCTAAAGGAGGCAGCTATAACTTATGTCTTATTACTCAAGAGAGTATCTCTATTTGTTAAGAGGCTGACAAGACACCCGTACTTTCTCTCAATTCATGCTGAGCAAGAGTTGTTCAATCATTTTCTGTTCTCATTGGGAAGTGCTGGTCTTACTCTCTACCCCTAACCCCCAATGCAAGGCTGAAACTGTACCCATGACAGCTTCTAAACTCTACAAATGCCAGGGGCCTGTCTGATAAATTCTTTCAGCACTTGCTATGACGACGCCCTCTTTCTTTCTTAGACTCCGAAGGGACAGGCCTCTGGTTGTTCTTGTCACTCAACTCAACTTTCTTACTTATCAAACACAACTGATTCTAAAACTTTCAAGCACTAAAATCTTTATTCTTAATGACTGCAAAGAGCATTTACTTACAAGAAAATACTTTCTTTTTGTTGACTTTTAATTTATAGTCAAACATGACATACAACAGGTCCTAGTCTGTTTGTGCTGCTCTAACAGAATACCCGAGACTGGGTAATTTATCAAAAAAAAAAATAAACTTATTTTCTCTAGGCCTGGCTAATTAGCTCAGCTGGTTATAACACCAAGGTCATGGGTCTGGATCCCCATACCCACCAGTCGCCAAAAAGAAAACAAATTTATTTTCTCACAGTTCTGGAGGCTGGGAAGTTCAAGATCAAACTTGCACCGGTAGGTTTGGTGTCTGGTGAGGGCTGCTCTCTGCTTTCAAAACGGAGCCTTGAAGGCTGTGTCTTTCCGGGAGGAATGCAGGGTCCTCACATAGCAGGAGGTGGAAGGGCAAAGGGATCAAATTCCTTCTGTCCAGACCTTTTATAACAGCATTAATCATTCAAGAGGGCAGAGCCCTCATGACCTAAACACCTCCCCAAAGGCTCTACCTTCCAACACTTGCCCTGGGGAGTAAGTTGACAACACATGAATTTTGGAAGATACATTCAGGCCACAGCACATTTCCAGTTTGTAAGACCGGGTTTCTGTAATAGCACCACTGGAGGCAAAATTTTACTCAAGATTCTTTGATCTGTGCTATACCAAGCTAGGAACTTTGGAGCCAGAATCTCGGAGCATCTCAAAGCTCAAGTTTTTAAAAACATCAGACTATGTTTGCACCCTTAGACGTTCCTTGCCTGGCCTTCAAAAGTATTCGAGTTTGCCACGCCAGGTTTTATTCAAGTCCCTCATTTTACAGTTGAGAAGAACAGACTGCAGGGAGAGGATGCGGCGTGCCCGGGGAAGCCGCTCTTGGTCCAGCTCTCATTACACTGCTGTCCTTTGCAAGAGACATACTTTCTACCATAACCCAAATGCACGTTCCTTACCAAAGAGACATGGAGAACCTGCGATTCCCCTCGCGCTCTATAAAAAGGCTTGGTCAGGCATAGCCACACCTTCTTGTCTGTAAGTAGAAAGTTCACCCAAATCCAACCCCCGGTCCGGACCACCTCCAACTAGTCACAGTGGAGAAGCCGGAGACGCAGCTCAGACCAGGAACCTCCTGTCGCAGCTCACGTTTCCCCCCCGGGCCGCAGAGGGACGGACCGGAAGTGGCGCTCGGCCGAGGGCGGGCGAACCGCCTATCCCGCCGTCGCGTAGGCCGGAAGAGAGAAGTGCGACTCTTAGAAGCGTCCCCCGCAGTGCCTGCCGCCGGGCGGTTGCTGTCGCGTACGCGGGGGCGGTGTCCGGAGGCGGTCGCGGTGCTCGGGCGCGCGGGGAGATGCCGGGAGGAGGCCGCTGCCCCGACTGCGGCTCCACCGAGCTCGTGGAAGACGCGCACTATGCGCAGAGCCAGCTGGTGTGCTCCGAGTGCGGCTGCGTGGTCAGCGAGGGGGTCCTGACCACCACCTTCAGCGACGAGGGCAACCTCCGAGGTACCTGCGCCCGGCCTTCCCGTCCTCTTCTCAGCTCCCTCCTCCTCCCTGTCAGGCGCACCCTCAATTAAATACGGGAGCAAACGGACTAAACTGAACGAGTGGGTTGGAGGAGGTCAGGCAGTGCCGGTCATGTGTGTTCCCAGCACCTAATATGGATATTAGTAAATGTTGAGTAAATGAGACAGAGAGAAACAATGTTCGGCTCGATCTTCCTGGTCTGGTCACGGTGGAAGGGTCGTGGATAGCACATAAGTGGTTTTTTAGCCCTAATTGGCAAAAACATCTTTTTTCTTTGCTTTCCCAGTCTCTGGCAAGTGCGGCCCTCAAAATCTGCAGCCGGGAAAATGTACAGGAGGGATGACTGAAGATTAGGAATACTTGGAGCTGCTTTAGTGCAGTCCTAACCTTCCTCAAGCACTGTGTATCTGATACTGTTTGTGCACATAGAAAACCAGAGGGGCCTATTAACTACTCATAGACGGGCACCTTCTGTGAGACGGAGTAGATGCTCAATGATTTGAATTCTGCTTCCTGCTCTTGTGTGGTGGGAGGGCATTGGGGTCTGATGAATAAAGGCTAAGCATGCTATTTGTTCTTCATTATTTTACAGCAGTAACATATTCCCAAAGCACAGGGGAAAATGAACAAGTTAGTCGCAGCAAGCAACGAGGTGAGTGAGAATCAACCTTTTATGATACAGTAGCTTTAAAGGAAATTATCCTGGTGTCCCAGCCCATCTGCTTGCTTTTCTTGATTTCAGCATTACAGGTATAAGGTAGAGTAGCCGAGAGCGGAATTAGAAGTAAAGGATGGGGATGGTTCTGAGAGAGGCAGCAGTTCAGTATAGGGTTTGGGTTTGCTCAGGGGTATGTTTGAGGTAGCTTCAAGGAGCCTGGATAAAACTTTGGCTTGGTCTTGAATCAAAGTAGCCTCCCAAAAATGGTGGGCTGAAATATGACTTCTTTCCACAAATGTTTTTGTGCTTTTGGAATGATCACACCAAGTGTCACTCCTGTCAGTACAAAAAGGTACATTATTTGTGCATCTGGTATCTGAGGCAAGTTGAGCGGAACTAATCTAAGTCCTAGCAGAACTTGCTACGAGCGGCATGATAGCTCCTTTGACCCCGCTAACTCTTCCTGTGGGTTTTCCCAGGTCTCCGCCGAGTGAGAGACCTTTGTCGAGTTCTGCAGTTGCCACCAACATTTGAGGACACAGCAGTTGCCTACTACCAACAGGCATACCAGCACTCTGGCATCCGAGCTGCCCGGCTTCAAAAAAAGGAGGTGTTGGTTGGGTGCTGTGTTTTAATCACCTGCCGGCAGCATAACTGGCCCCTAACCATGGGAACCATCTGCACCCTGTTGTATGCAGATTTGGATGTGTTTTCTGGCACATACATGCAGATAGTGAAGCTCCTGGGGCTGGATGTGCCATCTCTGTGCTTGGCAGAACTGGTGAAGACCTATTGTAGCAGGTACCTACCTAGTGAGAAACACTGGGATGGGATGGTTCCTTAGATCTGAGGCTTTTTATCTTTGGCTGTCTCTTTTTGACCAAAGCCCATCTGAAAGGATGTAGGAGAAGAGTCTATTCTTCCTGTCCTGTGCCTAGTGCTAATAGGGTTAACACTGTTTTACATTTCTAGAATGCTAAAATTTTCAAATCCCTTTGCCCTCACAACAACCTAATGATGTAAGGAAGGTGGGCATTAACCTTGGTGCAGGGCTGCCAAGTTGCACACTCCTCACGTTACAGGCTTTGTGAATGGCAGCCCCTGGAGTTGTGCAGTGTGTGGTCTGTGTGGCTGTGTGCAGCAACCCTGCCTCAGCAGGATCATCTGCAGATGGATTTTTTTCTTTTTAATAGCTACATCTATTTCTTTTTTCTGAGAAATATAGAAGAAAACAAAAGCTATTGGTGTCAGTTAGTCTTGGATTTGAAGCTTGGTTACTTCCTTGCTGGGTGACTATGGGCAAATTTTCAACTTTACATGCACATAACAGGGTGCACATTCGTATAGACTGAATGAGAACATTGTAAAGCACTCAGAATAATGGCTGGCAAGGGGTGTTCAACACATGTTAGCACCATCTGCATTTTTCTGCCCTTCACCTAACAAGCAGAAGACTCACCCTGTTTCTCTGTAAACTTGCTGCCCAGTGAGCTTGAGTGTTCCCAAGAGGACAGAATAGCTTCCCCATCTTTAGTGGATCGCCCTTCACTCTGGAAGAGGGGCATACCATAGTTGTTGAGACCTGACCCTCATTTTGGTTGTTTCAGCTTCAAACTGTTCCAGGCTTCCTCCTCTGTGCTGGCCAAATACGTGGAAGACAAAGAAAAGATGCTGTCACGAACATTACAGTTGGTGGAGCTGGCAAATGAGACGTGGCTGGTGACGGGGCGGCATCCCTTGCCTGTCATCACTGCTGCTGCTTTCCTGGCTTGGCAGTCACTGAAGCCTTCAGATCGGCTGACATGTTCCCTTGCCCGATTTTGTAAATTGGCAAATGTGGACCTGCCCTGCCCTGCTGCCTCCCGCCTGCAGGAGCTGCTGGCTGTGCTGCTGCGGATGGCTGAGCAGCTGGCTTGGTTGCAGGTTCTAAAACTTGACAAACGGTCTGTGGTGAAGCACATCGGTGACCTTCTTCAGCACCGCCACATGCTGGTCCGCAAGGCCTTTCGGGATGGAAAAGTAGAAATGGAGACCCAAGGGAAGGAGGGGCAGGGGCAAGGACAGGGAGAAGAGGAGGCAGGGAATTGTTCCTTAGATTTGCCCAAGCAGAAGCGACCAGCCAGTCCTGCCCTTCTCCTCCCACCCTGCATGTTGAAGCCCCCAAAGCGGATCCATCCCACACCCCCTGTCTCCTTGGTCACCGGAGACGAGGACATTTCTGATAGTGAAATAGAGCAGTATTTGCGTACCCCTCAGGAAATTAGGGATTTTCAGAGAGCCCAAGCTGCTAGACAGGCTGCCACAAGTGTCCCTAACCCTCCTTGATGGACATCCATTGGGGGCACATAACCTCATTTGGACAGGAGCTAGGAAGTAAGTGTGGACGAGTCCTTATGTGTTATCTTGTTTGAAGGAACCAAGGGGAGCTCTGTCTTAGCTGGACCCTGGGTCCTGGGGTCGATGCCAGAAGCAGTGCAGGGATCACTGCGGGTAGGAGAGGGTCCCATCCCTTGGTGCCTGCCGGAGAGCAAGTTGCATGTATTCGTGTTCTTTCGGATAGCTCTCCTCTTAGACTGTTGGGAAAGTATCAGGCTCCCCCTGGCTCCTAGTTTGAGTGGGACACACTGCTGCTGACGCTTCTTTAGGTCTGACGGGGCTTCCCTGCTGCTTGTGGAGCAGTTGGCTTCCCAGTCAACCCTCAGAGGAGCAGGAACTGGGGAATTCTTGGCCCTGTGTCCATTTACAGGCAGTAGATTTGTGTGCATGGTGTCATGAAATCCTCTTATCATAGCAACAAAAAGACCGTGGGTGGACTAAGGCTAAAGCCCAAAGGGGTTTGCAAATTTTTAATATATTAAAACAAGAGGCATCTGCGAGAAAACACTCTATTGTATAAAACTTGAGCTTTTAAAAACATGTTTTCTTTGGCACTTTTCATTCCCTCCCTCCCCCCCCTTTCCCCAGCATATTGCAAAAAGCTCTCCAGTGCTAAGGCATTGGCAGGGTATGTAAACAGCAGCCAGCATATGTGGAAGAATAATACAAAGCTTTTTTTTTTTCCTTCTAATATTGTCTGTGCAGAAAGCATAAATAAGAGGACCAACCCCAAGGAATGTGGGTTTTCTCCCCTCCCCTATGTCTACCTTGGTGATCAGGCCAGGGTGACATGCAGACTGGGCGGGGACCTAGACCAGGCCGAGATTTCCTGTTAACCCTTCACAAGGCTCAAGGTTTCATTTGGTCCTGTAGTAAAAGGCTGGTTTGCTTTTAGGTTGGGAAAATATGGGTGCTGGTATATGAAAGTAGAGAAGGCACAGGCCCCTGATGAGCTGCAGGGATCCAAGCCACTGCCTCAGAGCTTGGCTCAGGCTTTTGTGAGTCAGGAAGCTGGTTTGACGTTTTGGAGGTCTCTCCCTACTGCTGAGCTGGAGACCAAACGATTGGGCTGGTTCTTCCATGTGGCCTCATGGAGGCATGGAAGCGTTCTCCCTCGGTCCCTTGCTGTTGGAAAGCCGAGGCTGGGGCGGCTGGGGTGGCGGGGCTTGTATTTGGATAAGTGCTCCGGCCTCATGGTGGAGGGGCATTGTTTACAGGATTAGGTTTAGGGCATGACTCCCGTCCGCTCCAGATCCAAGTACCAGCTCCCTCTATTTCCCTCAAATCATGCTCAGGCACTGGGCAGAGTCAGCTTCTTAGGTGTAGGACCTAGGCTTTATGCCACCTCTGAGGACCACTCCTGTGGGAGTGGCATCCTTGTCCCTAATTGTGCACCCTTCTCACCTGCCCCCTCCCACAGGACTCGTTGGTTTCCAGAGCTGCCTTTCACACTGGCCCGTCTTCCGCTATTGCATAGTTATCTGAAAAGCAGCACCTTGTCACCTTCCATTGGTCCCGGTCTCCTGGCTCATCTGCTTGGCTGGCTCCTAACCAGAGCCTGGGGAGGACGGAGGCCCTGGGCTCTAGGCCAGGACTGGGCTGACGTCAGCCCACGGCCGTGAGATCGCAGCTCCAGGCTCCCCTCGCCCGTTTTCCTGGTGGGGCTGGTGGCCACCAGTGAGGCGTGTGGATGGCAAGTGGGGAGGGCTTGGGGCAGAGCCCACCCGGGCTGTGCGCTTCCACGGACGGACGGAGCTCTCCCCCGACCTGGGAGGGCACCGACCACTTGGCTGTCAGACTGGCCTGGGTGCACAGAGGGGTGTGTTCCCTGTTTCTGGGATTGCCTGTCGCTACCCCAGAGGGACGGCCCCCTGGGCAAGGGGCAGACCTTTGCCTTCCTCCTTTTCCCCAGCCGCCGACTCTGACGCTGCCGAGGCCAGGTGCCCCTGCCCTGCAGCCTGGTGACGCACCCACAGACGTGGTGGAGGGCCCCGGAGAGTGACCTGCCCGTCCTGAAGCATCGCCCGCCCCCGCCCTAGACGGTGGTCTCGCTCTTCCAGAGGCCGGTCCTCATGCAGCCGCCCCCGGCCGCCTCGGCGCTGGCGTCGTCGCACCTGCCGCCCTTGGGGCCGCCGTTGAGGCTGGCGCTGTGCAGCGGGTACGAGCGGCGCTTGCTATCCTTGTCCAGCGCGACGCG